ATGTGCTCTATAACTAAAGGAATAGTTGCTGATAAATCCATGTGAACATGCTGTTCTCTGCTGATGCTGCATATGTCACATGATGATGGTGGTGGTGGTGACACAGGCTGGCAGCCAATAGGATGTAGCCGTTGTGCCTTTCTCTTTCTCCAACAGGGTGAGGATGGCTTAAAGGCCCCCACCCAGCTGCACCGAGGGGCCATTGTGTGTGTGTGTGTGTGTGTGTGTGTGTGTGTGTGTGTGTGTGTGTGTGTGTGTGTGTGTGTGGTGTGTGTGTGTGTGTGTGTGTGTGTGTGTGTGTGTGTGTGTGTGTGTGTGTGTGTGTGTGTGTGTGTGTGTGTGTGTGTGTGTGTGTGTGTGTGTGTGTGTGTGTGTGTGTGTGAGGGCTAGAAAGGCTGTTGGGTGAGGAGAGGATTAGATGGCTAGTGAAGGAAGGCAGGGCTTACAGGCTGTTACATAACTACACAAAGAGTGAGGCACACTGATGTGTGTGCATCACTCTTTTCTAATCTGCGTCATGCGAACACTCTCAACAGGTTCACATAATTCTCACAGTATTCCGTTTTAACAGTTTACATGTTGTTGGTCAAGAAATCCAGGTTGCAGTGTTTGATTTAAAAGAAAACATGGCTACTGTACCCAATGGAAAAAACTAAAAGAGAAATAATTAATTGGCTGCAACCAAAATAAATGCTGATATTTTCAGGTTCAAGTTTAATCTCTATCATAGTGGGGTTAATTTGGGGATTTCCCTCTAATTGTTTTATGGAGTTAAACTATAACCAACATTTCCTGTAGCATAGTTTCGTTGATTTTTTTCTTGTGGGAAATGTTCAATAACTCCCATTATACAGTTTAGAGCCACCCTGTAGTATTGCATCATGGCAGTGTTGGCTTTCCATAACCACAAGCAGACGTTGACCATGACAGCCTGGCAGTTGGAACACAGTGCATACCTGCCAAATCCAGGGGTCCGACACTCCTGTGTACTAAATACAGAGCTTTCCATAGAAGCGATAGGCTTGATCAGCAGTGTGTGAACTCATTTAGCAAAATCTCAGCAGAAGTGTTCAAGCTGTCCAACTGTTGTTTGGGAACAGTTCTGAAAGTAGCCAGCTAACATAACGGGTAGCAATTGTTTAATATGTGTGTATTTCGTTAGACTGTTAGAACTGGAAATTCAAATAATTAAAAAAATATATCACCCAAATGTGTGGTTTAACGTGGAACTATTCTTTTAACAAGCTGCGTAGCACTGCAGTCGGCTCTGGTGTGGGTTGCCATATATCATCTGTGAGTACATTTGAATATGTTCCTTTCAAAAACAAAGTAAAAAGACATATTATGAATAGAAAAAGGTGTTTTTTTTAGCTGACACTGCTTTTTTATTTTGTTTGTTTTTATGCAAACAGTCAGGTAAGCATTATATTTTAACCTCCTGTGACCTCAAATGTGTACTTTAAAGCAAGGTCACCAACAGTGTGAATGCACACGGTAGGCTGTCATAGACAAAATCACATACAGGTCAGATTACATAATGAAGGTAATTCTGTTGTATGTGTACTAAAAGTCAGTCATTGCAGTTAATACTGCAAATATGGATATGAAATGGACCGTGTGCGCCAATATTCACCCTTTGACCGACATTATGAAAGGCCTGCTGACCTGCAGAGACCACCAATCATAAATCAGGGAGGTGGACAAAAGCAGCGATTGTGTTTTTGTCAGTCAGGGATTACATTTTGCAGGCTGAGGGGCCAAGAAGAACAATTCCCTCACTATTTACACCTACCACCACTTCGGGGCGGATGGAAAAAGCGCTAAAAATAAGAATTATTATTATTAAATTCATTTTTTTAAAACCTGGGAGTTTTTTAGTTAAAATGGCTCGTACAAATCTCTTTAGAGTTAATGCATGAACATACACCTGAAAATGATATCGAGTTAAACTACTATGGAGCCACACTGCAAAAATGAACCTCTGGCGTAAACAGTTTTTGGTATACCACCTGGCCCCTGATTTACTGTTGTTTCATTGAACACATTATTTTAAAGTATTCCACACATGAGCACTATACTGATATTAGGTCTAATAGGTCTTAAAACTAGATTGGAACACAGACAAGACAAGACAACATACGGCTAAATGGTAAGAGATGCTTATAGAGTGGAGGAAAGGAGAAAAAACCCAATGAATATATGCTTCATATGAATATTGAATATGTCCTTCATACATTGGCATCTGTCATATTAAAAGCCTCTGGGTGTCTGGAGGTCAAAGATAAGATGAAGAATTTGTTGATGTTCCCAACTTCTGTGATACATCCAATTGTTTTGCCTCCTTTCTAGTGGTGAAAGAAGTACTAAGATGCTTTTTTTAAGTAAGATTAAACAATACCAGTGTGTACAAATCCAGCAATGGAAATTCTACTACAGTAAAAGTTCCTAAGTATTACCATCAAAGTCTACTTAAAGTACTCACTAGTGCGAAATCGCCCATTTGGTTTTAAATGTGTAGAAGTTGCTGAAATATTCTATTATTCATACTTATGTTATCACATTAGTTTAAAAAAACGGTGCTCGTTCAGAAACTAAATAACTTATCTGACAAGCTGCATCAATATTTTCAGTTAGTGCCGTGAGCTCAGTATGTTAGCACAGTAACGCTTGATGGCTCAGCATTATCGTTATAGCTCACGGCAACAGTTGGCCATATAATGATATAACTAGGATTTCAATTGTGGTTATTTGTTAATGGTTTTGGTCAGGGACAGGCTTCGACCTTGAACTGTTAGGGTCAGGATATTGGCCAGGGCATGGGACCAGAACAGTAATGGTATCTAACCCAAATATGGACCACTGGCTAATTATAGTGCTTAAATGCTACTAGGGATGGGGTTTGCCATGAAAAGCAGCTGGATTCATAATAATCCCTGGTCCTTTTTTAGTAGCCAGCTGTAGCGGCTGCATGCTCTAAATGTTATGCAACTAAATCTAGTCACGTCACGGATGGCAACACGTCACATGACCTATATTTTACACGTCATTGCCTGACTAATGTTCTACTGTTTATTTACTGTGGACTGAAAAGCAGAAGAAGTACAATTTAGTTGCTTATCTTTGTCATCAAAACTGTCAGCTGAAATGACATGGAATGGAATGCATCTACAGTATTTGCATCTGTTGGTTTTAATTACACACATTTGTATGCATTGAGACATCCTCAATCTGCTCCATACTACAAAGTGTGGTCTGAAGGTGTAAGATAAAAGTGTTTGTCGGCTTTTTCCTCTTACATAGTCGGAGGCAGGATTCGCTTGGTAAAAAATACAATGCCCCATTATGGTAGCTGCTAAAAAGTGAATTCACTCATGACCATAATACCCTGCAAAATAGAGATTGTTGTTAGAATTACATTAGTTGTGCCTTGGAAACGAGCAAAAATCCTATTGTAAAAGCATTAGAGCTGGAGGTTCATGGGGGTTGTGGATGTGTAATATGGCAAAGTGTGATGGAAACAGAGGTGGAATGAGACCGGATGAAGCCTGACTCTCCCTGATGGAGCCTACAGTTCCATCAGCAGTGAGAAATGCTGGAGATGGGGCCCTAAAAAGACCCCAGGTAATGTTGAAGCTGTGTTGAAGTCAGTAGCACGAGAACGATACTAACGGAACAAATCTGGACTACACATATTTACAGGTTATCACTAAATGTGTCAATTACTGCTGTGGTGAGACACAGAGCAGATGTGAAATTCAACCTTCATATTCCTCAGTGCTGATGTTTTATTCAATGACACAGCGATGACATTACAAACACATAAATGGAATCCATTTCCTATGACCCCTTGCAACCTCACCCTGGCAGGCGCAAACACACGCATCTAGGTGCATCCTCTTGAAAAAGACAGCACTGTTTCCTGTGTACAACCTGCCTATTTTATGAGTAAATAAAATGGATTTAATGACAGCTGCGGTACATCCAAAGTGTGTGTGTGTGAGGGATTGCTGTGACCCGGGCCACTCAAAGACACATTAGGTGATGCAGATGTGTGCAGCAGCAGGTAATACTGCTCACTTTCCTACCTCCACATGTGATACATGCCACACACACACCATCTAACCCAGTTTAAAATACAGTGCGCTGTTTTTAAGATGACCCTCTATCCATTACATTTTACCAAGAGCTCCACTGACTAACAGCCTCAGGGATAGGAAGTTTTAAATATAAACCGGAAGATCAATTTAATGTAAATCAAAGAAAATTACTGGAATTTAGCAACGCTACGTCATTTATTTGTGGAAGTTAAGACTTTTATTTTATTTCTGTACCGACTGATTAGTCTAGACTCATTTCAGTGAGATAATGAATGCAGGACAGCTTTTTAAATATTGCCCCCTTGTGAAATGATATGAACACTACATGTTCAAACAGTAAACAGTGGTGTTAGTGTGCACTCTAGTGGTAGAAAACAATACAAGAGGCTCTCTAAGCAGCATATTGTCACTGCAGTTTGCGTGATATTTAACAAAGTTAGGCCAATATAAGAATTACAATGTGACACTTAAGAAATCCCATTACCCAAATGTCCACTTAAATGACCATAGCATACACCCTTTGAATGTGTTCATACATTGAAAAAGCACAATGTAAAATGGAGATTTTAGAAGATGGCAAGCTTGAAAAAAAGGACATAAACTGCTAGATTTCAAAGAAAAGGATAAGCATTGCAATTGTGTTTAAGGAAATGCGCTCCAAGTGTCTTTGACCCCAATGATGCACACATTGCATTTTGAAACTGAATGAAAATGGGGCAGGCTTGATAGTAGCATTTCCATGCAAATGAAGAAAAGCCATAGAATATATTTGTGGTAAGACTCAAAAATATTTAATTAAAACCAGTTGTATAACCTTAATTATTCCATAAAAAGGCTTGTTATTCGGCGGGACACTAATTTATGCAACACATTTGCGTAGAAAAGAAGAAAGACAGCCAAGGGTTTTCCAGGGAATTAAATTCTTTTATTAGAATGTCAACAAACTTCTAATGACAGGAATTGATAAAACCAGATGGTGTTTCTACAGAGGATTGTGTCCGTCCGACTCACGGTAAGTCAGGAGCGACAGTTCCATCTTCTCCTTGTTGATTTCTGTTTTTAAATATACATTATTAGCAGCCCTGTGCAGAGCAGCAGGCGGGAAACATAAATATAGAAAACTGCTGTGTGCACTGTGGAAGTTGGGCGGGGGGGTTTAGATGTGTCACCTGCGGCTCAGTAGGGGAATAAAGTGGGGGGGTTACTCTGTGAGGCCGAGCTTCTTCTTCAGAGACTCTGGCATCTCGGGGGGGGCGGGGCGGGGCAGGCGGAAGTAGACCTTGACGGAGTCGTAGATGAACCACTGCAGGGCGGTCAGAGTACCGATCATGATGATACGGGCAACCAGACCCTTCCACACACCTGGAGACACACACACAATATCAGATTGATTAATCCATACATCATGCTGTATGGAGACGAGTATCTAAACACTGATATACAGAATACTCTTTAATATACCAATCTACTAAACAAGTGTACTTTATACATACATTTTATTTAAACAAAGCATATCATTTATCTAGTTTAAGATGAGCAGAGTGTCCGTCCACCAGGCTAGCATCACTGGGGGCTCCCCGTCTGTAGAGGACAGGGCTGCCAGTGGTGCAGTTGGGCTGGGGGACAGGTAGACTGTTCTCACACGCCAATGACTCAAGCACCTCCAACTGTACAGCCAGAAAGCTGCCGAGGGGCTCCGTTCAGAGCCCCTCCAGAGGTGGATCTAAGGAGCGTGTTGACCTAAGCCTCATGTTACACTAAGCTAGTTCTGGTACATGTGTGACGGGGATACAGACCTTTGGGTCCCAGCTTCTTGAGGACCTGGGTAGCGGTGCTACCTGACTCCTTGTTCAGTACAGACACCACAGAGTCAGCAGGGTGGGACACGATGGCACAGAACACACCAGCTGCACAGAGCAAACAGAAACACACATCAGAGAACAGTCTGTAGATCAGCTGCAGTAGCAATGTACTAGAATTATACAAGACTGATATCAATGTAAATACCTAGCAATTCAAGTCAAAATATTCTTATATACCCGAAAATTGTTTGAAACAACTTATTTGTTACCGTTTCATTAACTAGACAGGTTTTTCTAGCTTACAAAGCATTATGATGGGTTGGTGATGCGTTACTCACCAATATAACCGGCAACGAAGGTGACCACCAGCTGTTCAGATTTGGTGCACTCGCTACGGGGCTTGGGGACAGCGTGCTTGTAGAGCAACTCCACGGTGCGCTCGAAGCAGGAGAACTTCATCATGGTGTAGGGGATCTGCCTCATCCAGAGGGGAACCACACCCTTATAGAAACTATAGGAAATGGGAGATGTGTGACAAACTGTGTTAACATGTGATCGGTGAATTCTCCTTGCGGTTCAAACCCATACGTGTTGAGTTTGTCTGGTTTAGCAGAAAGGAAAACAATGACTGATATTCGAGAACATTCACCATTACACTGCAGTGATTGGATGGTTCACCATTACTCATTGTTTTTAGCTGGCAGGATGACATACGATTAAGTCGCAAAATCTCATCTGAGGACATTTTTAATGACTTGTCTTTTGTACATGGCTCAACTATGAGAAACTACGGCGTCATGCTCCCCAAATCGGTGCTTTTTCAATTACTAGCTTTTAAGGTTTTTATTTATTCTATACATGCTGCACCTGTGTTACCAGCACAGAATTGTGACTTAACCACAAATACTACTGAAGAGTATTATACCTTCAGTTTGTTCAAAAGATTAAAAAACTGTTTATTTGGCAAGTGAATGTTTATAAATCTGGAAACAGTTTTTAAGTGCAAATCTTTCAGATTTGTTCACTTTTTACTCACCTCTTTTACGCAGAGACAAACTGAACAGTTTACATTTCACAGTTTTTCGGTCAGGCTCCCTAAACCTGATTTACATGTTGATATTCAAAATAACCACACACACATGAATGCTTTCTAGTTTTGTGCAGTAACAATAAAGTGTGTCCGTCCCCCAGGCTAGCATCACTGGGGGCTCCCTGTCTGTAGAGGACAGGGCTGCCAGTGGTGCAGTTGGGCTGGGAGACAGGTAGACTGTTCTCACACGCCAATGACTCAAGCACCTCCAACTGTACAGCCAGAAAGCTGCCGAGGGGCTCCGTTCAGAGCCCCTCCAGAGGTGGATCTAAGGAGCGTGTTGTCATCACAAATCGATTTGTCAATAATTAAAGCCCTAATAAAACACCCTATATTGGAATAACTTGGCAGCCATTCAACCTCACTGACAGTGACTGATAACAAAATGGATTGCGGAGGAGAAGTTGGTGCACTTACGCCCAGACGCCCTCCTCTGCGTACATCTTGGGGACACACTCTCTGAGGGTGTTGGCATAGCCTGGCTTGGTTTGAATACGAACTTTAACAGCCTCCATGGGAGCCAGAGCAATGTCTGCAAAGAACTCTGCGCTGGCTGAGGCCGCCAGGTACAGCGATGTCCTCCACAGGTAGGTGTTCTCCTGTTTGGTGTGAACACAAACATAATGGTCAGACAGATCAGGACAGACGCGCACCCTGCAAAATTCCCATCCTTCACACAAGCGCAGAAAAAAAGAAGAAGATTGCCACAAAAAATAAATACTCTCATTTTTTGGGTGACATGTCCTTGTAGCAGCTAAATACACTAACAGACACCATCCTGCTACCTTGGAAGTTATTCCATTTAATCATTTTTTAACAGGCTTTTTGTCATGCTGTATGGAGAGGGGTATCAAACACTAGTATACAGAACACTCTTTAATATACAAATCTACTTAACATGGTGTACTATATACACATACATTTTATTCAAACTAAAGCATTTCCTTCATCTAGTTTAAGATGAGCAGAGTGTCCGTCCACCAGGCTAGCGTCACTGGGGGCTCCCTGTCTGTAGAGGACAGGGCTGCCAGTGGTGCAGTTGGGCTGGGGGACAGGTAGACTGTTCTCACACGCCAATGACTCAAGCACCTCCAACTGTACAGCCAGAAAGCTGCCGAGGGGCTCCGTTCAGAGCCCCTCCAGAGGTGGATCTAAGGAGCGTGTTGACCAAAGCCTCATGTTACACTAAGCTAGTTCTGGTACATGTGTGACCAGGTTACAGACCTTTGGGTCCCAGCAGAACATTCAAATACATGTACGTGGTGCTAAACAGCCGTAAGCGTATTTAAAGAATATGGGAAGCATACTTTTGCATGTGCACGTAGCAAATAACGTACATGTTTGCACTTTTTATATGAAACATACATTTGGTGATAAACTATACAATGCCATGGTTTGTCACAATAGGTCCTTTGAATCACAAATACAAATAAAGTTGAATCTGTTTCTTCTTTGACAGAGTGGAGGTGTGTGTTGTTGAAAGCTGTATCTGGACTCACCTCTCCCAACAAATCACTGTAGAAGACCTTAAACACTTCATAGAAGCCAAACTTGCAGAGTCCCTGCATGGAGTAGCCGATGAAGGTGGGGGCCCAGCCCTTTGCCAGTCCCCTGACACCATCTTCCTTCACTGTCAATCTGAAGCCGTTACCGATGCTCTTGAACTTTTCTGGGTCCACCTAAGAAGGAGAATCCAAAGTGATGAAGCATGTCATCATGGTTGGCAATTCTTGGATCTGGGGTTTGACCCGGATATGTTTAAGATGATAAGATAGGAAGTAATTGGTATGGACCAAAACACAAGTTACAAATAACAGTTTTACTTTTGTGTTAAGTGCTTGGACATTTTAAACTATATTAGCAAAAAAATATATATCATGGTTTGAAAATCCATCATTATGACCTATGCATTAAGCAATGCCAACAAAAGTATGGTATAAGTGAATGTATACTGTTTAACAATGTTGTGCACAACTAGTGCTTTACTGAAATACATGAAGCCAAGGGGCTGAGGGGGGAGCTGCTGCTACGTGTTGTTTCTGTACAAACCTGCAGGCGACACTTGACAAGGTCGAGGGGCACCATTGCTGTGTGTGTGAGGCCGCAGCTCAGGATACCCCCAAAACCACACAGGGCATAGTACTTTGAGGAGCCAAATACGACGTCTGTGGAAGGGAGGGGGGGACACATGCATGCAACATGCAGCACATGACAAAAATCAACACCAAACCAGAGCCACAAAATGGAAGAGTTTTCAATGTAAAATAAGAAACTGTTGGATTCAGTGACAGGACTCTTCCATTGTGTGATGCTCTGCCACTAACATGCCACCATTTATTAAAATCACACACCAAAGTTGATTAAAATCATTGAAAACAAGTGATTTCAGTTGAAACTTTCATGGACCACAGTAGTGTTTTGTTTATTTACTATAAAGTAACTGAATGCTTACCTTTTCTAAAGCAAACGAAAGGTTTCTAGATTTGTTTCCTAGCTTTGTTGCAGCCACTGATTTCACTTCGTTTATAAAAGAATAATTAGGCTATATAGTATCATATCACCAGTATGGTCCTATAAATCTCTGATTAAAATCATTTAGAAAGGGAATACACTTGAGGATGGAAAATAACAGATTACACAGGCATCATAATCATCATAATGCCTGTCTGATCAAATGTCCTTTTGACTTTCATAATTTACCCGAGAGACAAGGTTAATCAGTCACTGTCTTAACTGTGACGGGCAATATCTGCATTCAGATTCTCATAATTTTTCTTTGCATTCAGACCACCAGGTTAAAGAGTACAGTCTGCATACAGAATGACATTTTCTCCTTCATGTCTGGCACTCCTGACCTTCACAACTCCTCTACTGTTGACTCAGTGGGGGCTGCTTGGGTACAACACCGGTGCAAAATCATGCAATCATGTTAAGATCACTCCAACACATTAGGATCATGGGAATCAATAGACGATGATAAAAAAAACGCTTCACCACAATTGGGCCGACGGCATTTCTTCCATGCAGATTGGTGCATTTTCAAAAAGACAAACAGCCATGGGGGGGATGACGCGTGACGTTAAAAAAAGCAGGGCACCGAGTCACAAGGACAGACCTGCAATCTGCATTTGATCAGATCGAGTGGAACGACAGCTGTGTGCGTGGTGCCACAGCTCAGAATCCCACCAAAGCCGCACAGGAGGAAATACTTCTGAGAGCCGAACTCAACCTCTGCTCCCTCTGAAGAAACACAGGTTTAACTTTAATAACAGAACACCTCAGGGTTTGGAAAGGATGATATTGTCTTTGAGCGTAGAACTGACATTAGAGATATCAACTGGTTTTAAGAGTTATGTTATATGCCTTCAATAAAGCTGGATGTCCAACAAGCTAAAAGCTGTAATAGGAAGACATTCTTTGGCCAGTCTCGCCCTTATACAACAGGTTTAAACTTGACTACCAATTATTTAGTCTGTACACAAAGCTGTGTAAGCCCATAACAAAAACTATTTAAATGGATCACTGTAATTAAACCAGTAATTGCTATTAGGATAAAAGCCAAGCGTATTAATACAATGGACAAATAATGAAGGAAAGAGCATATGTACATGGACATGAATCTTCAAGCTGTTGCTTTTATACAATAAATGTTTGATGTATGCACCTTTAGAGCACAACTTCAAAGCATCCTTTAACAATGGTTGGCCATTGACTGCCAAAACAAGTGAAGGTGAATTAGCCCAATAGTTGTTGCTGAAGCCCGTTGGGAATTGGAAACTTGTTAGCAGAAACCTTGTGGACCTAAAAGGGCAGAGTTGATGTTAGGAAGTTATGTTTGGTATGGTTTTAACAACCAGTCATAAATATATCAAGCTAGGACAATTTGTTCTTGTCAACCCCTATGTAGCTCAGGGGTCACACGTATTTCTCGAATACTTTGCCAAAATGCAATTTAATCACCGATGCTCCCCTGAAAAAGTGCATGCACCATCTGCACGAGACGTCAAATACACTTTGCTTCAGTCCAAAAGCAAGATACCACTTTGTCCTTCCTTGTCCTCAACACGCAGCAAAGGCCTAGGAGCTAACTGCCTCAACACATCCTTCAACATTAACAACAATAAAAGAGTTGCAACAATAACCTGCAACATGCGCAAAGGCAATAATGCTATATAAAAGTTGCTAGTCTCAATCACGCAAAGACGTAGGCCGCATCGGGGCGAATCTGGTCGGCTAAGCTATTGCAGCTAACGCGGATTCTGCAGCGGGGTTTACCGTCAGAGGTGGCTGCTGCTGCCAGCGTGCGGGTCCTCTGTCCATGGAGGCTCTGTTTGGGTTCTTCCACTTTCTGGATGTTGAACAGGGGAGAGCTGAACAGGTTGCTCCGGGCCAGCTGCGTCAGTGCGGTGGGGTACATGGTGGTGTCCTGCCTGCTGGCGGAGCTGCAATGAGCTACAAGTTAGCTGTGCTTCCTAAAGCTAATGGCAGATGTAACTGGAAACATATCGACACCTGAACCGAGGGATATCACGTGCTGGTTAGCTTAGCGGACAGGAAATGCTTAATTTAGCTCATTGAATGAACATAGAGGGAATACTACAGGTACATAAAGGTTAACATCAATACATGCTTCTGTAACGCACATGTCAAAATCTCAACGCTGTCTTAAAAGTCAAGTAATTTAGCATGGCTCTCTTCCCTTTCTAGCATAGCTGATGCTAAATCGCATGCTAAGCTAACTTGACCGCTCCAAGGTTGAAGCTCTCTAAACAGAAAAAAGTGACAGTCGCATAAACAAAACAACGCTAAGATAAGTGACGGTTTTGTTATATGCATACTCCATAAATAAGTTGAAATGTAATATGTCATATGCACTTCTTTTAGATGAATAATTGCACTCACTCTTTCAGTATCTTAAGATGGCGCCTCCTCTTAGTTGCAACCGGCGACTCCGAGAGAACGAGTGACCTCGCTTTAAACCGATTTTTCCTATCGTGACGTCAACTTCAACCTTGGGCGGGTTCGTCCGCTACTCTGCCCAATAAGGAAAGGCCATAGAGCTGCCAATCAAGATCTCTTGTCCAATCACAACGTTGGTCTCTGATAAATGAAGGCGGTGCTTGTAGTAACTATAGGGAATTATTTCAGCCATTCTAGGTTTCCATCTCAGGTAAATTGGCACATGTATCTTAAAAATATGTTGTGTGTGTCAGAGGTGACTCCTTACTCCCACTACTTCTATTCTATTTTATTTACTTGCACTATTTTATCTGTTTTATTGTGTTGCACTGTTGGAGGAGCCTGGGACCTACGATTTTCATCGACATAACTACACTGTAGCTATGTACGAATGACAATAAGAGCCTTGAATCTTGAATCTTAATGACAAACCGTGAGAAGAACACAAGTGGATTACCTGTTGGCAGTTGTGTCTATTCTTGTCGTCAGTAATGCGGCTGAATGAAGACCCCTCTTGAGATGGTAACTTAGTGATGTCACCACAAAGGTAGATCTACCTGAGGTCGGTGTGGTTGTTATTAACTAGAGGATGGGTGCACATCATTTTCCATGTATGAGTACACTGGCACTTCCTCAATTGTTATTTGATGGCTGGGTAGAAGAGATAAACCCACTGCATGCCTTTCGAACATGGACGTCTTTAAATAGACGTGTGAATCGGGAGGAAAGCACAGATGAAAGCCTGGAACTAATAACAAAAGACATATGCAGACCATGTACCACCTGTTGAAATGTGCCAATGCCCCCCAGTTATCCCAAAATACCTGGTAAAATCGGACCTCATCAGCTGTGGCCCTCCATATTGGCAGCACATCTGATTGCTTGGGAGTAAGGTGACCAACCTTATGACTCTTTACTTGTGATACTGTCACACAATTTTTTTTGTAGCATTTACCATTAATGTCAAACAATGGGTTTTCTTTTATCACAAATGTCATATTTTGGCAGGACTCCAATTTACCCTGGGACACTTGGTGGGGTCCCAAACCCTGTGTTAGCAACCACTACTGGACTAATGACAAAATAAATATTCCTATAATTATTTTTCTTTATTAAAACCAAACAAATTAAAGATGTGACATAGTGAAACTAGTAGATAGCCTGAGAGTAGAAATTCAGTTAAATTGTAAAAATATGTGAACGTTTTGTTGCCTTTAAATGTTTTTTTTCTGTGATTTAACAGTACACGTATATGGCATCTTCATAAAATCAAAAGCTGTTACAGGCACAGTAAAGTCATAATAGTTTATTGAGTGGATTGATATTGAATATTTTTGACAGTGAATACATAGTTAAGTAGAATACAATAGTTCATTCAATTTATAAGAGGAGAGCATTAAGAAAATATCTGTGTAGGGTTTAATAAGATTGAAAAGGAATTTGGTGTATACCAACAAGCCTCTCTGTCTCAATAACAAAGATGGTCAAGTAAGGAAAAAATAAAATACAGGTTCAAACTCCATCTTCACGGCTGTTAATGACTAACAAAGACATACACTAAGGCATAATGTGAAAAACCCTCACTCACTCACTCTCACACACTCATCACACACACACGAAAAACATTAACATGGAAATAAAAAGAGTCAGCAAAGGAGTTACTTTGCTTTAATAACATGTCATGGAGATCTCAGTGTCAATGCAACTGCTACATTGCTTCTCTTAAGGGATTCACTGAATATTGATAAAGAAATAAAAAAGGAAAAAAACTTGACGAAATAAGGGCAAAGATGTTGGGTCATTTCACAGCACCCATGAATAAAATGGCTACAATGCAGATTCACACTATTTTCACATCTGTGCTTTCTACGCTGTGCCGCTAATGGCCACTTCGGTTTCTGAGGCTTCAAAAGGGTTGATGATGTTGGTCTCCATGGCTTGGTAAACCAAGAACAGGAAACCAGCCACAACGGCCAGCAAGAACAGCTTCTTCCACAGGGCCATGCTGCGGGGGGCTGCTTTGGTATGGCCTGCAGGGGGAGCTGCAGAAAGAAGCCTGGAGGAGGAGGAGGAGGAGAAAGAGGAGGTGGAGGTAGCGGAAATAGGCAAGCTGGTGACTCTGCTGTCAGTGCAGCTCTGTGTGTAAGATGAGAAGGAGCTGGTTGTCTTGGTGGTCTTTGGCGAGAAGATGCTGTTTTCATCACCATTCCACAGGTCACTGGACTTCAATGGGCGGTGGGCTGCGCCTCTGATGGGTCGTCGGCAGGTGGCACTGCAGAAGAAAAGGAATTCAGTCTTTGTTTTTGAGTGTGAGATTAATCTGAATACTTTATCTCGGGGGGGAACTGGGTTTTGTGACAGTTGCTCCATTTTAGAATGAAATAAATACAAATTAGAATAACATAAAACAGCTAGTTAAAGCTTTGGTTCTGTCCTATAAAGTGGTGCAGGAATGAGTCCTAAAACCCAGCAATGAGTATTTTAGCACTTCCGGTTTCCTCATCACAAAGTCCATGTTTTTTTTAATGGGTATTTTTTTCAATTACCTTGCTAACAAGTGGCTAGTTAGTGATGCTAACCTATGCTAACAAAAGTATATCATGAGTTACTTACGTGATTCCTGTTGGACTGTTGACGTCATTGGGGAACAGCTCCTTCAGAACCTCAGTCTCCTCCACTTTCTGTGGTTGGTCGCCTGCTGCAATCTTCTCCACCTAAAGAGACAAACAACCATGGAGAGCATGACTTATAGAGCAGATGCAAAGGATACATTCCCTCCATTCCCTGTAGGGGAATGTTTGGACCTGCAGAGGGCAGCCTACTGGATATTAGACACCGCTCACCACGTGACCTATTCAAACAAAAGGCTGGGTACCACCATGTTGACGATTGAACCACCCCTGCCTCCCTTCTACTACATATTGTTTGCTGATGCAGGTATTACCCTCAAAGTTTAGGCAACAATCTTAGCGGATCATTAAGCAATGCTGTTTGAAGCTGGTACGGCATCCTCAACGCAACACTTGCTGAATACTTACATCAACAACTAAACAGAGAGGATGCTATTGATGGTAGCTTGGGTTTGGGCAGGATACCCCCGAGGTGCTACCAAAGAAAATAACAGGTACTGTCCACAACAGTTTCTTCTTGAAAACAAATAAAAGGGTTCCTAGCAAGTTGAGTTGAGCCTTGCAGTACCATGCAGTGGAAACAGTCTACCTTTCTCACTAACACATCGTTGGACAGTATGGATGTACTGTTGAGCGTCTTCATGGGGCTGTACTTGGACATGAAGCTGGTGATTTTCTGCTGCCTCCTTCCATGCAGCAGGACATCTGGAGATGCGCACACGTCCTGCTCACAAACAATGTGTGTGTGAATGTGTGTCGAGATTGTTTAACAAGCCAACGGCTCAGCTGTCACACAACTGTCTCTGCAGAGAGCTTCACACACAGCGGAGCAGTTGACTGTCAACAACCCTCTAGAATGAACTATAGATTGTGAACTCTTCATACTGAACCACAGAAAATGTACCACCCAGAAGTGAAGGACGGTAAAAGCAAAAAATAAGAGAATAGAATGAAATGCAGCCACCAAAGTTGTAAAAGTAAAACTGTACCCTAGCTACGGAGACCCAATTGGGCTTCGATCCAGACCGGTCGGACAGAGACTCGTGGTACTCTTGTCTCTTTATGGGTGAAATGTTACACATAGGGCTAAAAGTCACAGGGTCCACTTTGACGAGCTGAACCAGAGGGGAAGAAGGTCTTGATGGTCTGGCAGTCGGTCGTTGACTCTGTTTAGTACAAGTCAGAGGTCCTGCCTTAGATATAGCGTTCGGAAATGTACAAATATGACCAAAAAGAGAAAGATCTGTAATACAAATTTAATTCCACCCACCCTTACTCCTGGTTTTAAAGGTGTAATGATTGGTTCAGGTTCCTAAGACGGCAACAAAACAGGCAAAATCAAGCAAAAATGAAAAATTGAATACATGAGACTCATTGACCAGTCTCAGTCATGGCCAACAACCTGACAACTGGCTTCATTTTGTGAAAGTAGTTTTTTGTTAAAGAGATGGCAAACATTCAAAAGGCTCACCTCCAACCAAGTAGTGTTGAACAGAATGACTGACTTGTGAGGTGAATCCTTGCGGGGTTTGGGAAGTAGCACAAGTTCTTTGTCTTTGAGCTAAAGGTTTCAAACAGAAGGTGCGCAAACGACATAATGAATTTCAGGATTCTTAGAATACGATTTATTCCTCAAACCACAGCGTCAGAACTGGTTAAACTTAGTGGCAGTACAGACAAATAATTCGGAACATCCCCAAACACCCCTAAAGGTTCCTAATGGCTGAAGAAACAAGTGACATCCTCACAGTTGTGACCGTCGGCTTGGTTGATAACGCAAAATATTTTCCACCATTGGGTGCAGTGTGAGACGGTATGAAAGGCAAATGGTATCTTTGATCATATCTTCGACAGAACAGCAGATATTGGAACCAACCGACCCGTGAGCCCATGCAGGTATGAGAGAGTGAGAAAACAGCCCAGAGCTACCTGAACTGGACTGGATGAGATGGGGGGAGGTTTAGCCCGGACTGGACTGTCCAGTCTTTGGCTAACCCTCCTGTTAGACTTTACCTGGATCTGATCTGTCGATAAAGACCTGAGATCCTCAGGCACTGTCTGATGGGACGGGAGAAAAGAGAGCTATTGACACAGGGTATAGAAAGAACTGAGGAAAGGAAGTAATAGATAAGAGGGGCTAAGCAGGAGAAGGAATTAAAAGCATGATGGAGACGTCTGCTTTAGCACCTTGTCATTTAACTGGATTGCTTCTGTGACATCGGAATTGAAAAGCTGCATGGATAGGAAACCTTTTGGCAGTTTGAGTCAGATTTGTAGGTAGGTGGAAATATGTCCTACTAATGATACTGATAATGCAGCATTATAGGAGAATGATTACTAATAATACATTATTGCTGAAATGATCACCAATTAATAATCAATGTATTATTTAGGTAACTTTACTGGAAAAAAAAATCATGTCATCATCTCATGCTGGTTTGAGCTTCTTTGGTTTCTCCTGTTTTGTACCGTTTTATAGCCTAGTAAACTACCTTAGGGTTTAAGAATGCTGGCCCGAGAAATAATAAATAACATTTCAATAATAAAAAAAAAAAATGTTTGGAGACATTATTTGAAAGCATCAGGGTTTATTTAACCATATATCTTCCTGCAGTGCCAGAGTAATTTATATCGTAAGCAGTTTCGCAGATAGAAAGAATATTTGAAGATGTGGAAAAGACTGAGCTGCATGAAGCCAGGTGTGTAGGTGGAAAACACTTCCCACAGATTGTACACTGGTGGGTTTACTCAGTCACAGTGTTGATGTGCAGAAAAGGGGTAGAGGGACAGTATTCACCATTCTTTGGGACAGCCTCCTGGATCTGCGCTTAACTTGCAGGACATTATCCTCATCATCATCTTCCTCATCCATCAACTGGTCTCTCTACACATGGTATGCACATTACAGCAGACAATGAGAATACCAGCGTTTGAAGTGCAGCTCATTCATCAGCAGCATGAATTCTTCAGACAAAAATGTCAACCACTGCTGTTTGTAGTTTGTAAAAGTGCTTAAACTGATCATGAGATAAACGTTAATACACAGTGAAATGGCTGTAGAATAATGGCAAAATTGGCAAGAATACTTATACACAATTAACGCAGATACTTCTTAGTCTGAACCATGAATGCAAACTCTTTCTTGCCTTTCACATTCTCAGTGGCAGCCCGTTATGGCTACATTCCTCCCATTTACCCAAGAAAATATACCTGAATGTACACACATGCATGCACACACACCTCAAGCTCCACCCCCTCTGCTCATATCAGTTTATTCTCAGCAGCCCACAACACAAGCGCCTCTTGTTCCAGGCGTCATCACCTCAACAGGTGCATGTTCAGTGGGTGAACAGCAGGAGGAGCTGTTTACATTTAGAGGGGCAACACTGCTGAATAACACTTGTCACATGTGGGACATGAGTTTACAGTCTATTTTCCAAAAGAAGCTATGTCATTATCTACAGTACAAAATAGAAAAGATGGATGGTTTTACTCCAACTGTATAAAACCAGGGATGCCAAACGTCAGAAAGAGGAAGATAGAACCAACGGAGGTGAGGGGAAAACATGAGGGAGGATCCCTGAATAGAAAAGTCAGTGTGTGAAGAGGTCCAGCACGTGCATGGCAGACGCTAATCCATATCATGTGCTTTGAATCTCACGGGCAGCGAGCAGCACTGCTACACTGAACCATGAGGCTCACAGTAAGCTGGGTGTGACTGCTCCAATAAAATGGAAAACCGCTTCCTTTACCAGAGTCAGAGGAAAGGGTGTAATGAACCCCAGCTGCTGGGTGTCACATTCTACCTATTTAAGTACACAAACGCCCTGGTGGACGGGGGGGGGGGGGGGGGGGGGGAAATGCTTGAAATGCTTGAATTAATTCACTTTCATTGCCAAATGTGTGGTCTTGATTGTACTTTTTGAATACAGATTGATGGTTAATGAAGTATGGTGATACAACTGATAAAGTAAGGGTCCAACTGCTTCTTTACCACAGTGTGTCTCAAGAAACAACTGTGGTCTAATGGTATGCTAGCAACGAGAAAAAGCACTGCGCAGAAGAAAAGGCTAGCTCTCCACTCCCTGAGGAGACCTGGAGATAATTGTAATTGATTGGGTTACTGAGCGGAGGGAGAGAGTTCTAGTGTTGGTTTGTGACTTATTGACCTTCTGGTATCAACATGAAGGAAGTGCGCCATTGCGACGTAGGACCAATGGAGATGGAAGAGATTAGCCCTCCTTCAGAGTAGGGGATCAGCTGGTCATTATACAGCAATAACAGTCAATGCTTTATTTTGTGTTTATAGCAATATTATATCTCATCTAATTATATGTATCCAATATAACATGTGGTTAGTTACTCTCTTACACCACACTCCAGTTTGTCTCTGAAATAAGGCTATTTTTGTGTATCAAATGTAATATTTAAAGTTATGTTACATAGTTGGGTGAATGATGCATTTGAATTGTTAACTTAAACATTAGGAGCTCATGACATTTCTAATGACCATAGTTGAGCTTGTTGTAAAGTAGTTCACTTCTGTACTGGTGATCCCAACTATGAGTAATTGAAGGTCGTATGAACCAATCAGGACTAAGACTTTTACGTTGTTTACAATAGGAACCGGAAGTCCTGAGACAACCTGGAAATGGAACAAAGGAGAAAATGGACGGGACAAAAAAATCAAAGAAATTACGCCACGACCAAGATAGCATCTGTTCCATGAGCTTCTCTAACTAAATGCAATTCCTCATTCAATTTCTTTCAACTGGTCTATCTGAAAGAAATCAAGCACACTCTTGGGGTTTGCTCCCCGGTATAACAAACTGGCATCCGTCAGTGTTTAGAAGAAATTGAAGTTGTTACTGACCGTGTGGTGCTGGCTGCTGCGGGTGCGGGTGGTGACGGGCGTCTTCCCTCTGCTCCGGACCGGCCTCTCCACCACTGGGACTGGTTCAGGTTCTGGTTCTGGCACAGGTACTGGTTCTGGTTCTGCTATCACTTCTGTTAGAACCCAGTAAATACACATAAAGTTAAGGGACATCCGTGGGTTTATTTTTAACAATAGGGAGGGATGGATGGATAGATTAGATAGATACATTGTTTTGTCACAGCAGCATTTTGACGTTCAAGACATGTACAAGAATTACACCATTCCTAAAAATGTAATATTATGATATATATAATATAGATTATATGCTTTGGAAAGTCGTTTTTATATAAATGCAATGTTTATTAGCAGGCAATAACATGACAACTCACTGCAATGATGGCTTACTAACACTCCACATATAATCTATCATTATGGTAAACCATGATTATATTGTAGTAAAGCACTTTAAAGTGAATACATATTGCAAATGTTTAAAGGTAAATCTAACTGTGATAACTGTAAACCTTTAACCTGCCGTAGTGTGGAGCATATCTTCAGTATGAATATCAGTATGAATGGCGTCACATTGTTCTTACCATCCTCCTTGTCGCTGTACAGGTCTGACTCTGAGTTGCCGTTGTGGTTCACTTGTGTCTCCGTGACGATGACCTCTGGCAGCGGTGGCTGTGCAGGACCCTCATCCAGAAGCTTCTGCAGCTTCCTCTCATACAGCTTACGGGTGGAGGCTGCGAGGACAAGCAGGAAGGAGGGACATTTCATTATTCTGTCTATGTCTTTAAAAGGCAAGGCAAGTTTATTTATATAGCGCATTTTAAGGCAATTCAAAATCCTTTACAATAAACATTAAAAGCATGTAGAGATAATGCAATAGAAACACATTAGTTTGCAGTGGGATGGATCTGCAGTAGCTCATTGACTTCTATGGAAGCATGCGTGCCAGAGACTATGAAACCAAAACCATAAAGAAATAAGTAAATACTTTTTAAAGGTCCCATGTCATGGCCATTTCTACTGATCACAATTCCATCGTTGAGGTATACTAAAATAAATGTATACTGTGCAATTTTCCAAACTCACATTGGTTTCTCAAACATCTCTGTATAGTATGTGTATTCTCACTCTGTCCTAAACGGCTTGTTGGAGCTCCTGCCCCCCCCCTGTGAGCCCAGTGGCCGTCTGCGAGACAGCGAGACCCAGCCCGGAACACACACACACACACACACACCCACCCACCCGCAGCCTGGCTGGGAGTTTGTGTGTGTGCCCAGGCTGAGTTCCGCGGTGTCTCGCTGTCTCGCCGACCCCACACCAGTGAGCCAGCTCACAGTGTCCCGCTCCTTGCAGCAGCGAGCCTCGCAACATCCCGCCGAGTGTGTGTGAGGAAGTCCGCGGATTGGTCAAAACTTAACGGCTCCGCGGACTTAATGGCCGTTACGTTACGTCACTATACCCGAAATACGTCACTATACCAAAGAAGTAAACAATGGAAAAAGAGAAATCCCCAACGAGGCGTTCTGGGGCAGCATAGATAGGTCTTTTCTGTGTTACAGTTTTACTCGCTACAGGGTGTACTTTGAGGGTTTGTGACTTTGCAGACCATTTACATGCATAAAAAGCTACATAACACACAAGGGGACGGGTAATAACCAGAAAAGCATGACATGGGACCTTTAACAATACTGATATTACTAATAGCTAACAACAACAAGAGCCATGATAGAAATATGATACGCTATAATATTTTCAGTACACTTTAGCCAAGTTAAACTCCTCTCTCGATAAATTCAGCACACTTCTTTTGATGTTTACTTCATTGATTTTAAGCCACTACTACTACTTAGCACCCTCCTTCCCATGGTAGTGTTCATGTAAAACATCTGAAGGAAGTGCTAGGTAAATGTGACTTTAGCTAAAAATTGACATAAAAATACTGCTTCTGTTAAAAAGAGAAAGTGAGCACAGGGGTGAGGATGACACTAATAGTTGGTGCTGTGCTTTATCAGCGATTTACCTTCCCTTTGTTTGTCAAGATTATTATTAGTGACCAGGTTAATATTAATCCTGCTTTTATTTGTGATTTTAAGACAGTTACGTGATTTCATGACTGTGTTTTGCTTGGTTAAACTAACTGACCAAGAAGTAATCACTCCTCGCAGCACTCACCCACAATCGGCCCCACGTTCACTCCGTGCTTCTGCAGCTCGTCCATCAGGCCGCCGTCGGTCAGCACAGTGACGTCCATCTCGTCCGGCAAAACCTTGTCTGTTTTCCTGGTGGCTTTCTGAAAGGGGGGGGGGACAAGAGAGCCAGTTGGTAAATCATACATTATCCTGGTTGCTAAAAATACTGCATTTATAAAGAGCGTTCCCACACATTCATACAGGCAGAGGCTGCTGAGAAGGTGCCACCTGCTCAGGGAGACTCACACACATTCACACATCGCTGGCCATTGGGAGCAGTTTGAGTTTTAGGTTTCTTGCCCATACATCGACATGTTGCCTGCACGAGCTGGTGATCGAACCACCGACCTTCCCGTGGGAGGACAACCATCTACCTCCAACTGTAGGGACTGCCATTGATTTTTTTTTGTCCCGAGGCAATGCGATCAGTAACGACAACAGAAGAGCGGACAGACAGCAGACAGTTGTTTTTCTGCATGTGGGCTGTTTGTGAACCGCCAACCAAGTTGACACAATGTTAACGAGTGACACTCTGTTGGTTATAGCATTACCTTTTCTTATCGTAAAGGATGGTTCTTTTTTCAGGTATTGAGTGGGAAAGTTCAAATCTAAAAGGTTCAAATAGACTCTGTCCCAACATGCACCGCTGTTCACCTTAAAACATTCTCCCGTGAACCAATGCCTTTGTTCTCAATTTGCTCAGAAGAAAGCCCTTTGACAGACAGTTAGCAGAACAGGTTTACCATTTGGCTAAATGACCGTTCGCTAAGTCCAGCCCCTTGAATACAGACTCGCCAATCATAGCGCAGCATCGGACAGAGAACTTGACGTCGTTTAGCGAAGGGGCGGGGCTTAACAAAGGGTCAACAAAATGCATTTTTGTTGCTTTGAATGTAGATAAATGGATGCCTGTATTAAAGTGCAGGAAAAGAATGTAGATGGACTCAACATTTAAAATCTAATGCTGCCTAATTTCATCACATGATTTAGAAGACAGGCTTAAACTTGAGGAGTTTTCTTCAATAACATAAGGTGGGGAAAACAAAGCAGCATTTCTAGGCAGATGGAGCAGGCACATCTTGATGGCAAACAACGTGCTGTTCTGAAGTCGCCTCTCACACAACAGCCTACAGGAAATTACTCTGTTTGAAACCAGCTGCCTCTGAAATGAAGCCATGGGCCTCCTTCTTAGCTCACATCTGCAGGAGGCTGAGCTTTTGAGTGAACGGATATGCATGCAGAAGATATTTTGTCGAAAAAAATGATGTGAGCAGATACTCATGCGGCCATGATTTGAACCTTTTTTCAAAAGAATGAAATGTCCTTAAGAAAAAGGAATCAATCATGGGTCAGTGTGCAGTATAAAGTGATGCTTTGGTCAGGGTACAGTCCCTTATATAATCCAAAGTTGGCACGGACATGGTTTGGACACGGACATGGTTTGGTGAATAACAGACCTGTCCTGTTGCTGTTCAAGGCAACGTGTGAAAATGTAAAGGTTTAACAAAAACAAGTAAAGACTGCCCTTTTCGATTCCTGGACTTAAACTTGTGGTTCGTTAAAAAATAACCATTTGAGAAGCCGGAATTCGAGAACGGGCAGGAACTATCACAGAATTCCTTGCAGCAGTTCATTGTCAACTTGAGGAAATAACGCATTCAAAGCAGAGTACGTAATTAAAAAGCCAAAAATAACGCCTAAAGGCTTTAAACTAATTAGAGGCAAGACACAATCTGCCGTTTCACATCTATACGCTTAAACACACTGCACTATGTCTTAGTTCAGTAAATAATTCAGTAAAAATTGAAGGCTTTTACTTGGAAGCAGCGACAGGAAGAGGTATGTCTTTACCAGGAGAATACCTCCAGTTTTACTTAAGATGCTTTACGATTTTCACCCACAAACTGGAGACTGAAGAATGTGATGTTTTCACTTCACTTCCAGAGGGTTGTGGCGTCACGTTGACATTCCCCTGAACCAGGTCTACATATATGGACATTACAGTCCTTATCTTGTGTCTTTAAATAGCACTTACAGTTGTAAAGATAAAATCCTTACTGCATCTGTTTTTTTTAAACGGACATCATAGTTGCAAGAGAAACCTAAATAAATAATTTTGCCACGTAAAAAATCTGAAGTCTTGCAATATAAGTTAGATCCTAAATACTCTTCAGTGCTCCTACATACTGCTGATGTTAGCTGTTCTTTACATATGGATGAAAGCCTTTCCTTGAAGTCTGGAATCGAGTAAATTAACCGCTCACATTTGAGTCACTCTCATTGGTGCAATACCTTAACATTTTAATGAAAGTGTCTTTGATAGCTGTAATGAGCAAACATTGCTGCAGTCTAGGTTCAACTTCAGTAAATAGGGGACAACAGCAAAGAGAAATGGTGACATAGCAATCTTATAACAAAACTCATTTGCAGTGATTCCAAAAGACCACTGGTGCTCTTTGATGTAAATCAGCTGATCAAAGTTGATGAAGCTAGAGCAACACCGAAACCCAAACTACTCATTGTAATTCTTACTGTGACCATAAGAAAAACCACTCTAAAAGTCACTTGGAATCAACATCTGGGCCTGCAGCGACTCTACAACCGATTCAGTTGGCAGCAAATCAACGGAAAATGTGAGGAATGCAAAGATGATACGCTCAACTTCAGTGACGAGAGGCTGCCGTGAGGTGTTCACAACATGCAATAAATGTGGGAGACAGAGAGAGGCTGTCTCACCCCGGGTCTCGGTGGGCCCTCGGCAGGGTTTAGTCTGGAGGTGAGCCAGGCTGTTTCATAATAACATCAGTCTGAGCTGAGAGAGCGGGAGGAGGGGGGAAAGCCTCTGTGATCCCTCCTCTGCAGACCACACCCTGGCCTTTAATGGCATTACTAAACCGTGAGCTCACAGTTTTGGCCCGTTTACAGTGTAAACTCACAACCGACAAACAGCGTCAAACTTTCCTTTACTACTCCTCATTCAAGCCTGGATGGAGTAGTTTGAGGGTGAGACATGCCAGGACCTGTGGCTGCGTGATGCAACACACTGCTTGGCTAAATAACAGTGGAGTAAGTGTGGTGAGCCATAGCTTTGCTCAGATTAACCACAACTCTTTGAATTGTTGGTGTCACACTTGTAATACCTCTAAATCTCACTATCACAGACAAGCGTAAAAACAGAAGAAACTTAATGCATGTGAAGCCACTTTGAAAATCCTCCTCGACTTCAGTAAACTATTTGAAAAATGTCAGGAATTCCTTTTTGAGCTGCGGGGCCAACCTCCAACGGCAGCTCGTACCTGCAGCCTGTAATCACTCAGGGATGTGAACACCAGGCTTCATTACATAAACCTCAACCACGCTACCCTACAAAACAAACACCCGAGACATTACACACGTGTCGTAACTTTTTTTAACACACCCCGCTACACGCACACACACATTCCACTTTCCTAAGAAAAGTATTTCCTGAATGAAGAGGCCAAGCTCATAAAGATATCAGTACCAGCTGCTGGTAAACTGTCTCTTGCTCTGCCATTTAAAGCTCCAATGGAAAGGCCATTATTTGAAAAAAGAAAAAAATGAAATAATCTCATCACCCTAACGTCATACACTGTTTGTTTACATGTATTGAGTTAGCAGAAAGTCTTCCAAACACACAAGTAAAAAATCTCCAAGGGGGCATTCCCTACATAAATCAGGTGTTTTTTTCACCCAGCAAATAAAATATATTCAATGAGTGGCATTATTTTTTAGGCTGCCATCTACTAAATTGACCATGATTAAGTGGATAGTGGTGCAGGAGTGGTAAAGAAAGTTTAGAAGGTACATGTTGTATATCCCTTTATTTCTTTAACAGCTCTCTGATGTCAAATCAAAGTGTAACATAAAGAATGATTTTGTTTCTCAAAATGGAATGAGGTTAAAGTCCTTTGATAATCATCAGCACTTTGGCTCTCTTCTTCACAACTCCAGATTCTGCCATGATAAAGTGACACACCGACAACATACCTGCGTGGAGGTTCTGTTTGAAACCCATCAGGGTCAGGGCACCGCGTCCTAGCATTCCTCTTTGACACAGTTTGTTCATTATCTCATATCAAATACTTTACAACTCAAAGATCTAATCACACACACACATATCGCTGCCTGTTGATGTGACTCATCTGGCTTGCGATACAAAGTAATAAACAACTTCCCCTCTCCTCATTACCATGTATTCAACTTCATAACTTAAGTGAGTTCAGACAAAAGACATGAATCTTCTCTGCTGATCGACTCAAATACCTGAACTACAAGCAGCAGGGAAAAAACAAACACACAAACTCCGTCACCTCCCACATGTCATTTCTCACAGTCAAGTCTTTTCTTCTGCTCACACCCATCATTCACTCATCATGTACAGACTACCACCCCCCCCCCCCCCAAAACAAGTTCAGACTGGACACATCCTGCTGCACACCTGTTGTAGTACTACGCATCCAAGAATTCAAAACAGAGCAGGAAATATACAATGTGCAGTACTCTTTACAGCGTGGTGTAGTGTAACAACAACAATGTTGTCCAATCAAAAATAAATTCACAGAGAAGCACAAAATAATAAATAAATTAATAAAGATTACGAAATTGAATAGGTAAAGTAAAATGTAATTAAAAGTATGTAAAATGATGACAAATTAAATCAAATATGATTGTACAATGACAAGAAAAAATTAAACCTAAATATTAAAAATACACAAATTAGGAGTCTTGTTTACAAAAAGGTGACGAACATGCACATCAATATTAAGTGTGAAATTGTAAGGATTTTATTTAATCATAATTGTGTTTTTTCCCCATCTATAGTATAGTAATTGTATTAAAATACTCTGGTACATGTCTGGAATATTTGCTGCATCGATACAATCAGTCTCCTGTTTGAAGGCTCTGAAGTATGAAGTATGCAGTATGCTGGCTGGAGCGGGATTATCATTATTAAAAAACAACAGAGGAATGCTGAGAAACTGAGACCCTTCTCACTGGTACAACAACTTAAGCTTGATAGCAATAATGCAATCTCAAGACTTTAAAACCAATTGATTTCATTCAAACACAACAGTATTAGCTTCTTTATCTGTAACAGTTTATGGGCGGGATTGTGTTTCATGTACCATCAGGTAAAGCTGAGACTTTATGTGTCCACTCGGGCTTTTAAAAACACATACTGATGAATGTATTATGTCAAAGAGAATGAATGAATTAAGAATGACTAAGAGGCCTTGGGGAGGGAACCCCAACCCAGTCTGCACTTCAGATAACTGATACAAGTGATAACAACCAGTTTTCGATCAGCAGATAAATCTAAGGTTGCTGTACTCCTCTTCTACCCGTTTAAACTGAAGAAAGGCTGGAAAGCTTTTTGGGTGGAGGTCGTGCAAACTGAAGCATGTGAATCTGGTTAGGTTTGGCCCCTGATTAGAGCTATGAATGGCCAAACTGGGATACAAAGGCGGTCTCAATATATAGAAAAACAGTTTCACAGTTACATTTCCAAATGTTTTTCAGGATATAATTAATAATAGCAACTGCATCCATGTTTCTAACCTAGGCTGTGGTATAGATGGCAAAACAAGGAATTTTGTTTTGGGGTGGGGACTCATGGCAAATAGTGCTATGGATGAATGGAGTCTGAGGTCCAAGCCTATTTACATTTTATACTGAATATTATAATAAGAATAGATGTATTCTTTAGTTAAGGTTTACTTCATTACGATCAAATATATTAAGACATGATGCATCTGCAAACTTTTGATGGCCATTTGTTTTGGACTAGTTTTAGACGTGTAGGCTAATTTAGAATCACAACGTTGTCAGTGGTTGATAGGCCTACATGGTTAGTTGCAGCTGTGATATGGTATATTTATATATTTTATATCTACACTGTAAATGATATAACTATAAATATAATTAAGTGCAAAGCAACTTAGCCATACTTTTGAGTCAAGTTAGCAAAACTTGTACCACGCTGCATCCTCGTGCGACGCGAGTTTCTGCAACGTTTTTTATTGAAATAACGTTAAATGCGTATGATTTAGTGAACTTACTCTGCCGGAAGAGCGACTTCTGCTGGAGACTACGGGCGGAGGCAGATCCTCGTCGCTGGAGAAGACGTCCACAGACGTGGTGACATGTTTCTTGTTGTTAGCGGTAATGTGCTTCAGATAAAGCTGCACATACACGTCCTTGGTCGGGTTGCCGTTCGGGAGCTCCACGTCGTGGGCCGCAAGCTCGGTTTTCAGCTTTTCCTTTGTGAGCACGGACGGGTCATCCAGGTACTCCGACATGTCTGCGTGCAGCTGCGGGGACTGAGGTTCCTTAGCCTGGGTAAGTTAGCTAGCTAACACCGAGGGGGAAAGTGGGGAAAACGGAGAGGAGTTTTACTTCTGAGAGACGCACAGCTAACCAGCGCCGCTTACTGGTTTTAATTAGAAGGAGGTAACAAGCATGTCTCGAAGTAAGAAATACAAAATTAACGAAAAACAAAATGAATGTGTAGTTGCCCACGCTTCCTCCTCCACTCAGAAGAATGAAGAACTGAAACTGGCTATTACAGTTACAGGCTTTTGGTAAAAAAAAAAAAAAAAAAATAGCTGCGACTCATGGGGACGACACAGGCCGGAAGTGACTGCCCGAAAGACCGTCTCTTATTGGTCAGACGCTGTTAGAAAGTGCTCCCTCATTGGCGGGACACACATGCAACTATTGAAAATGAATATCACGTCACGAGTTTGTGACACACCATTCACTCACCTTGATTTTAACAGCACGTTGAGTGAGTTATAAAGAAATGTGATAATACTTCGTTTTTCCTTTATGTTGACAGTTTGTATTTGCTTGATTGAGTGATTGAAATATGTAATGATAACAGGATCTTATTCATCCGCATTTTGCACAGGTAAAATAAAGAACAATTAAAAACACAAAAACCTGTTTGATCTCTGTGCATCACTTAAAAATAAAATTGTAATGCGTTTGTTTATTTTTCACTGGACATAAATGAAGAAGTCACAAGCCAAACTGAAAAAAAAAAACCAGTGAAATGTTTTCCTTTTTCTTTCTTTGTCACAAAACAATATTTTCTTTTATTTGACACATATACTTAACCAGTACAGTACAAAAGCAGCGGATACTCAAAGCAGTGTTTTTGAAGAAATGAAAACGACTTACTCTCGCACAAACTGTGCAACTACCTATAGTATTCTTGTAGAGAACTGAAAACAAATGCCTTAGTCCAGCTCATTAAATATCTTAACTTTGAAACCAAATGGGGCTTGGACGTTGGGGTTCAAGGCTTAATGGAAGATAAAATAAATGTAAGCAGCGAGACAGATCTGGGCTAATCAGAGAGAAAGCAGGCAGCGATGAGCCGATACTCACAGCTCTACTGCTTTACTCTCCAGCCCATACTGTCCATATGACTGCATAAAATCATGTGTGTGTGTCAGTTTAATTGTGGGTGAGTCTATGACAGACAGTCTTTATATCCACATCAGTTCCTGGTGAATGTAGATGCTCTGGACTCGGCTCCTTGCTGGGGCTGGATAGAACGCTGGAACACCCCTCCGCTTGTTTTTTCTTTTCTCTTCTCATCCCGTTTCCAAACAGCACTGTTTTCTCCTCAGGCTTTGATCTCAGGGGGGGTAGTGTACAGCTGCTCAGAGTTCTCTAACCCCAGTTCCTCTGAGGAGTAGGGCAAGGCAGAAAAAAAGAGTTAGAAAAAGGTGTGGAATATATATATAAAGTATGGGTGTTTAGAAAGGAGGGATGGACCAACTAAAAGATGGTCGGTCAGACTGTCAAAACCTGATTTGTCTGTCTATTTGATCACAGCCAGGGTCTCTACTGCTTCAATTAGGAGCATTATTTATTAAGTCTGTCTCTGGCAAGTTCCCAAACTTCATGGAAGTTCAACTTTAATTCTCTATAACCAACGTAGTCCAAATGTTTTCTCCTTTATGAAAGAATATTGACAAATCTCACCATGACATACATTGAGATTCTAACTTAAGTTGACTTTGTGTCCCCACACAAAAGGATGACATTACAGATGCTCTGTTTTTAAAAAGGCAGCATTTTGTGGCAAATGGAGGATCTGCACTTACAGAGACCTCACACTGGCTTCATTTAGCCTTGCTAAATATATACTTTTGAGCTAAATGTCAGCTGATGCCACGGTTGGAATATTACCAGGTAGGACACACTTCCACAGGCCATAGGTTTTCCCCACAGCTGTCTGCCACAGTCGGAGCGTGCCATCCTCAGATCCGCTGGCGTACAGCTCACCATCTGGACTGAAGCGTACACAGTGCACTGGACCAAAATGACCCTTATAGGACTCTACAGACAAAGAGAAAACAAGGACAAATTTGTAAATATTTTGTTGTGGTTTCTCCCTACTACTAAAATAGGAAACCACTCAACATTTAGACATCCTCTTTACTTATGTTATATGCCTGATATGAGGATCATTCACAGTAAAACATTTTAAGTACCTTCGACTTTACATAATATAGTGCATGTGTAGAAAAAGGTTTGCAATGTCTCTAAAATTTGAAAAAGCCTTTTCATATCTTAATGAAAGCCTGGGCAAAACACAATCCAAGTGCAGCCAGTTCAGTCTCTCCTGTCCTCACCCAGCTCTTCCTTGGTGCCGTAGTCAAATTTGTAGAGCTTGAAGTCCTCTCCGCCGGCAACAAAGAAGTCTTTATCTGGGTGGAGGGAGGCAGAGTTGATGGGAGCCGGGGCATCAACTGTCTTGATCAGGTCGAGGCTGGAAAATAATGAAAATTACTATAGCTGTACTGGCTTAATGTCACTGTGTAGAAGCTAAATGTCTACACTATCAAAATATTTGTTTACCCAGGCTTTTAGATGTAGTCACTTACCTTAGAGCGTTGTAGAAACCGATTGTCTTTCCATATGTGATCACAAGAATCTCTCCATCAGCCAAATACTCCATGCTGCTCACTGCTGTCTCGAACTTCAACTGTTTCACCTCCTCCATGGAGCTCCTGTCCCACAGCCTGGACACAAACACAAATAGGTCAAAACACAGATAAGGTCTCTGCTGCGTTCAGTGTCAAAGTTGAGGTGACTTGTGAGGAAGTCGAGCAGTCACAGTCAGGATGTGGAATTGGAGTTTGACACTTAGATGTGGTCATTGACCCGCAGAATAGTACCTTATGGTTTTGTCATCGGCTGCTGAGAGGATCTGCTTGTCGTTGTTACACCACAAGGCTTTTTTTATGGCTGAGGTGTGACCTGCAATCTCTTGAGGTGCTAAAAAGGACAAAAACATTTAACAGTTAACTACATTAGAAGAAAAAATAAACAACGGTCATCTCTCCTTTTTATAATTCAAAGAGGAGGGAAAAGTGATGCATTGATAAGGGCTGAATCTACAGCAAATGATGAAGACACCCAAAAGGGAGACACTTTTTAAACTCGATCAAATAAAATCCTATTTGTTTACACATGTATCTGTGCATAAGCAAGTCTCCTCTTTGATACATTGGCTTACCTGCTTCAGGGTTGATAAGATCGTAGAGGCGCAGAAGCTTGTCGTTTCCTCCAGTCAGCAAACAGGTGCTGTCCTGATAGCAGAGGCACAGGTATATTGAGACAGAAATATGACAATAAATATATTTTTTAAATCACACATATAACTGCATACAAGACATGTGCAGTAATCAGAGATCATTCATTTCAAGACAATACACTGACCTTAGTAAAGTTGACGGTTTTGACGATGTGTTTGTGTGCCAGTGTGAGGACCTCGTCTCCACTTACTGCATCCCACACCTTTCTGAAAAGCACAGAGCACATCACATTCATGTAGCTGCAGGATTATTGTATATTTTTCATGTAATGTGTTTGAAAGCAGGGTTTTTCCCCCAGTGATTTAAAAAAGCAGATACAAAAGGATATGAGACAGGGGGTATCATGTCCATTGCAGGTTTAATAAGCATGATCAGTACCACTTTACCAGTTCTTTTTTGGAAGTTGTTAGACAAAGATGTTTCTTAAGTTATAAGACTTAATTGTTTTAGACATATTGCTTCCAGTCTGGACCCTCACTCACGCTGTGAAGTCAGCCGCCGCGGTGGCAGCCTTGGTGGCGTCTGTGTTCAGAGTGGCTCCCCAGACAGCACCTTTGTGACCCAGAAACGTTCCTATCCAGTCCCCTGTGTCTCCATGGCGCATCATGGGCTTGCCATCTGACGAAAGAGAGCAGGGAGGATTGATACAATGGTTAGATATGTGTGTCAACAGGTGTTTATAAGACAGAATGCCTCACTATGGCAACTGATGGAGCACTGTAACGGCAATTTGTGTTTGAAATAATATTCATTCAAGGTTTTAAATGACCAATTAAATATAATTAATAATCATGGTTTAACTGTGAACAGAGAGGGTTCAAAGCGAAGAGAGCCTTACTATTCATTTATGTATTGGCACCACTTCGAGTATCTACGTTAACCGTTAAGACATGTTTGTAAAAAGCGTATTTGCCAAACGTCATTGTCAATCCATTGCTCTCACCCTTGCATGCGCTGATGAGGAAGTAGCCATATGGAGTGATTCCACTAAAGGCTAGGTCCACCACAGGTCGGGTGTGACCGGAGCAGGTGAGGGGAGTCTGTCTCATCGCCATGGTCCTCCAGCCGGCTGGGAGACTGTTCGCACTGAGAAGGAGACGCTCGGACGCTAGTGGTTAGCTGGCTAGCTAGCTGGTTAGACCTAGCAGGATGACAAGACAGCAAGCTAGCTAGCAACTGTTTTAGTGAGTAATATCCGTTGGTCAACAGTTGGCTGCCGGTTGGACTATGAATGAGTGAGAATTAAATGTTCATTAAACGAAACGGCGGGTCTCCCTCCCAGCAAAGGAAAGGCTATCGTGCTAATAGCTACAACATTGCAACTAACTAGCAACGTGCAACGCGGAGTAGCTGTAGCAGAGATCATATAGCCGGTGTTCCGCCAGACACAACAAACATATTACTTCCGGTGTGATGTTTTTCACAATAAAAGCACCCATATTGAAACAAACTAAAAGTGGAAAAACAGTGTTCGATAGCAAATCAATGAGATAAAAGCCACATGAATAAACAAGAAAAATATATATAATAACCATTACGTTTTTTCTTAATAATTAAGTCATCATCATAATTAAATGTTTTAAAGCTGTGCTTTTTTTCCACAACAAAAGTATTTTTGCAGGAATCTTTTATTGTTACTATGGCACTGTTAAAACGTTATACATTGTAAATCAATTTATTAAAAAAAATGAAAAAAGGTGTATTACTTTTATTCTGAAGGCTGGACAACGTCTTCTCCTTGCCCTTCTCCCTTGCAGGAGAAACGCATCTGCGGCGTGTTGCTGCCCCCTGCAGGAAGAAAAATTAATGTTCTTTACATTGTTAAATTGCAGACATTTATACCATAAAAGTGTTTATCCTCAGAGTTATGTCCTGTATTTTAATTACCCATATGTTAGCTGTAAGATTAATAATAATAATAATAATAAATTCGATTTATAAAGCACCTTTCATTGCTCACAGCAATCCCAAGGTGCTACAGGAGGCATAATAAAAACAAACAAAATAAACAAAAGTGTAATCAAAAGCTTTTTTTAAGATTAACCACATTTTCAGATACAAATGTTTGCCAGGACAGGATTATACAGTCATCCTGTTGTAAAATAATGTTTTTAAAGATATATAATGATAATGATAATTGCATTGTAGAGATATACATGTCTAATACCCTACTGCTGTATAGTGATATTCATGTCATATTACATGAAACAAGGGCAAACTTTTTCTCTGTTTGAATGCACAACTTATATGGAATTTCATTATTTATCTTAATTTTTTTTATCTACCCAGAGTTTTTTTCATATATCATTTTAACAATAAGTATAATATAAATGTTTATGTATATAACGTATATGTAAGTTTAAAGTAAAATATTGAGTAAAAATAGTTTAGAAAAAATATAAAAAATACAGTATTGATGTATATCTGAAACAAACCAAAATTACAAGCAAAACAGGGATGCCGGACTTCGTATTAGAACTAGCATTAAAAAGATACACTGCTGTTTATATTGTATTTAGGATGATAGATTATTGTCTTGGTTTTAGCTAATGGGGTTCTATAAATGAACAAACAACATTCTGCTTTTTTCTGCTCATATTGAAATTATATTTCAATTATTAGAATTTACCTTTATGGCTACAATATATTTTGCCAGATAGAAACAACAGTAACTCAAGTTAAAACATTTTAATATAAATAAAAGATAAAAGTCTTAAATTAATATAAAATATAGCTTATCCCACGTGCTACTATAATTTAAAAACCCAGCCCATACAGTTGTGGAAAGCATCTAAAAAGAATTCGCGTTTTCACATCCCTCCTTTTCACAGTTTAGTCCATGACTGTGCCCATAGACTGTAAAGAGTGCCTTGCCTCTCGGCTGCAGGCAGAGGTGTAGCCTGATGCCGGTGAATAAGCAGAAAAACAGAGCAGAGGGAGGGGATGCGGGACAGGAAGATGAGAAGCTGCATCATTTAGAGCATTGCATGGCCGAAGATGGGTGTCTCTGCTGAGGATGACAACGCTTTATTGAGATTTACGGATGTTTATTTTATATTTAGGTTTTTCATTTTAAAAATGAGATTTGAGGCAGCGTTGTGATTCCTTTTAGGGGCGGCAGGTTTGTTGTCTACCTCAGCTGTTTCTCCCTCCGGCGGGGCTCTCCGCTCATCCGACGCAGGGAGGAGAGGGCCGGAGGAGGGGGAGAGGGAGCGATGGCTGCCGGTGGAGCAGGATGCGGGGACACGGTGGAGCAATGCCGGGCCGAGGTGGAGCGTCTGACCCGGGAGCTGGCCGAGGCCAACCGAGAGAAGATCCGGGCGGCGGAGTGCGGGCTGGTGGTCCTGGAGGAGAACCAGAGCCTGAAGCAGCAGTACGCCGAGCTGGAGGCCGAGCAGGAGACGCTGAGGCTGGAGCTGGAGCAGCTGCAGGAGGTGGGCTCGGCAGGGGTATGGCTCCTTACTGGAAGAAGTCAAGCTTTATTAGTTTTATTATTAGATTCATTTGGGTATAAGAAGTTTCTGACCATAGTCTGTCGTTACATTTGCAATGTTCCAGGGCAGGAGATGGTGTCACATTACAAATAAGTTGACTAAATCATGTATTGATAGCCTATTAACAACCCTTCCTATTGCTTAGGTTCTTTGTGTTGTATAGGCCTAATTCCACTAGGCTACATGTAGTTACACCTGCTGAAAGCTAACAAACACAAGCCCAGCCTAACATGACTATGGAAGGCCTTCATGGTTTTATTTGTTAATTTCTTCTTGTCATATTAGGCGACTCAGCCCATTTTACTTTGACAATTAGTCAAATACTATTATAAAAATAATCAGATACTATGTTTCAATACAAATCATGCTGGTCATAATTGACTAATAAGATTTAGACACCAATGCAAACTTTCTTTATTATATTGGGCTTGCTTCCACAACTTCCTATGTTGTAAATAGAATTTCCCATTAGTGCCACTTATTAACCAATTAATGGATCAACTGAAACGCAACTGGTTTTGCTCTAAAATCGTTTTTTCCATACCCTAAAATGTAATGTTAACCATGACTTATTTTAAAGTAACATTAGTTCTTCAGGGTAACTCCTTACATGACTTTCGCAGTACTCAAACAACAGTGCCTTGTGAGGAAAATAGCATTGGGGTTTGATGCTGGAATGACTATAGTTGTTTAGTAATGTGCGTTAAATTGCAAAAACACACACATACACTGACGTATTGTCTTATTAGAAAATAGGTATGACAAAGATGTTAACAATCAAATGCCTCAACAGACACAGAGTAACATAAGTATTCATATGGATTTGTGTCACGTGAATCTAAATGAAGTCAATATTCACTCTTGTAGCTCTGGTTCACTTCTTAGAAAATATCGGATTTCCTGCTAAGAGCTCCACCATGCTCACTCGCTAGTTGATAACTTTGACTGCCTGCTGTTTGGTGGTGAGCAGTATTGTGTACATACCTATATCAGAGCCTTTTCTCTGAAAACAAGTGCCTGAACCTGCTGGGAACAGGGTTGATGAGCGGAGATGAGTTGCTGGCTCGAAAAACCAAAACAACAAGCTGAAAGACGTTAAAAGCTCATAAGCTGCACTGCAGAGTTGGGGATAATTCCCATTTCACATAATCATTTGTTTGATTATTCATATTAACCTATCAATACATGAAGCTTTGGGACACATTGCACCACAGACTGTTACGGCCCGTCCACACGGCGGCGTGCGTTGAAGCTTCAACGCTTCTGCCCATTCACTTTGAATGGGGTGACGTCACGCTTTGCCGAACTGCATTGTGGTTCCGTCGCTTTGCTTTGCTCGCGTTGCTCGCTTCAAAAGTAGAGCAATGTTCTACTTTTTAAGCTTCGACGGAAGCGTCAGCCAATCAAATCATATGCCAGTACAAGCTCTAGCCAATCAAACCGCGTGCTTGTGTGTCCGGGGCGGGAGAATCATGTGATTGGTTGTTGGTCGAGTTTCAGACACGCCCACCGGCAAGCTTCAGCACACGCCGTCGTGTGGACGCTGCGTTACGGCCCGTCCACACGGCAGTGTACGTTGCTTCAACGGAGGCGCTTCCCATTCACTTTGAATGGGCTGACGTCACGCTTTGCCGAACTGCATTTTGGTTCCGTCGCGTCGCTTAGCCTCCGTTGCTCGCTTCAAAAGTTGAGAAAAGCTCAACTTTTCAAGCGTCGACAGAAGCGTGTGTATGTACCTCTGCGGTACATCCACACGGCAGCGTACGTTGAAGCTTGCCGGTGGGCGTGTCTGGCACGCGACCAACAACTAATCACATTAATCTCCCGCCCCGGACATACAAGCACGCGGTTTGATTGGCTAGCGCTTGTACTGGTATATGATTTGATTGGCTGACGCTTCCATCGAAGCTTGACAAGTTGAACTTTTCTCAACTTTTCAAGCGAGCAACGGAGGCTAATCGACGCGACGGAACCACAATGCAGTTCGGCAAAGCCTGACGTCACCCCATTCAAAGTGAATGGGAAGCGTCTCCGTTGAAGCAACGCACGCTGCGGTGTGGACGGGCCGACTCTGCAACCCGCGGCTTGTTGTATTAAGACAGTATTTAATAATAATAATAATAATAATAATAATAATAATAATAATAATAATAATAATAATACATTTGATTTGTAAAGCACCTTTCATTGCTAAAAGCAATCCCAAGGTGCTACAGGAGGCATTATAAAAACAAACAAAAGTTTAATCTTTAAATTAAAGTAGTTTTTTTTTAAAGAAAGGTTTTTAGGCCTTTCTTGAAGGCGTCAGTGGTCTGTGGAGTCCTCAGGTGGTCTGGGAGGGAATTCCACAGGTGAGGAGCAGCTGCACAGAAAGCCCGATCCCCCATTGTGCAGAGTTTGGTCCTCGAGGGGCGACGCAGATGGTTTGTTGTGGAACGGAGGTTGCGTGTGGAGGTTTGTGATGTGAGTAGTTCTTTTAGGTATGACGGAGCGTTCCCGTGGATGCACTGATGGGTCAGTGCGATCTTGTATTTGATCCTGAATTAGACAGGAAGCCAGTGGAGGGAATGAAGGACGGGTGTGATGTGGTTGTACTTTCTCACCCTCATCAGGATCCTAGCGGCACTGTTCTGTATGTATTGGAGCTTCTTAAGGCTCCCGCTAGGAGTCCCGATGAGGAGAGCATTGCAGTAATCGAGCCTTGAGGAGACGAAGGCACGGACCAGTTGTTCCACATCTGACAGGGAGAGTGTGGGACGGAGTTTTGCAATGTTCCTGAGGTGGTAGAAGGAGGTTTTGCACAGGTGTTTGATGTGGGTGTCAAATGTCAGATGTCTGTCAAATCTTCCACCCAGGTTGGTAACTGATGCAGAGAGGGGTATGTT